AATTTGCATTATGTAGATGAAACAACCTTGTTTGCTGAAAGTAAAGAGGAGTTGGAATATTTTCTACAGAAGATAAAAAACTCAGCCTTCATTACAGATTTAACATTAAAAAAAAACCCCAAAATCCTCATCACTGGACTAAGAGACAACATCAGATGGAAAAAAAGATTGAGGTTGTTAATGATTTCATTTTACTTTGATCCACAGTGAACACTCATAACACCAGAAGTCAAAAAAGTAAAGACATACTACACTGGGAAAAATTTGCTATCAAAGAGTTCTCTAAAAGATGCAAGTATAAAGACTGAGATGTGCTTGATCTGAGCCATGGTCTGTCTTATTACTGCCTGAAAGTTGGACAATGAATAATAATGACAGAAGAAGACTTGGTACCTTTGAATTGTGATGTTGGAGAAGAGTACTAAATAGCCCATGGATTTCCAAAAGAACGATTGTGTCTTGGAGGGAATGCACAAGGATGTACCTCAGAGGCAATGATGGTGAAACTTCATTTCACGTACTTAGAGCATGTTGTCAAGAAAGGCCAATCCTTGAAAAAAATATGATGCTGGGGGAAAGAAAGGGTCAGAGAAGAAAGGAAGATGACAAGATAAAATGACACAGTAATGGTAACAATGGGCTTGAGTATATCAAAGAGCATGAGAACTGCGCAGGATAGGGCGAGGTTGTTCTGTTATTCATAGAGTTTCTATGAGTTGTAGTTTATCTAGTGGTACCTACTAACAACATCAAGGAGTGGGGGTGTCAGCCAAACACCACATCCACAATCAAACTCATTGAGTTTAATTGGAATCTCAAAGCTGACCCTCCAGGACATTTTCAGAGGCTATAAATAGCATGAGAGGAGAGTGTCCGTTTTTCTTCCTTGTAGAAATTGGTGGATTGAAGTCATCTGCTTTTGGGTTGAGATGTTGGTCAAAAAGAGGAAGAACCTCAAGGAGATGCATTCACTTGATGCTTAACGTGAGCTTAACAACAATGTTACTCTCTACTCTTAAACAGAGTAGAGATTGTGAGGATAACACAGGATCAGGAAGTTTTGCTCTGTTGAAGTTGACATACTGGCACCTAAAAAGCACCAGCAGTTAAAATTCTACTATATTCCTAACATCACATGCTTGGTGCAGTGGGAAAATAAAATTATAACAGACATTCCTTTATTTCTAAAATATTTACCACAAATCTCGTGTAATTAGTTAAATATATAAATGATTTTTAGTAAAGTCCATTACTGTGGTAGGCTTATGTTTCTGAAAATACAGAGGCATTGCTCCAATGCTAGTAGTTTATATAAGCTCATCAATTGTATCCAAGACCTACAATTGACTCAAGCTTGAACTATGAGACTCTATGGTCAATATGCTTATAATGTCAAGTACACTTAAATTGGATATTTGTATGCCAGAAAGAGTACATTAAAATAAAGTACATGGTTTTTATTAAATTGCTTTCAATTTCTTGCAATGTGGATAAGGCTAAAATAAAGCAGAGAGACAATGGGACATTTCTGTCCAAAGAACAAAAGAAAGCATGTGTGCAAAAAAGTATTATCACTCTGTCACCTGAGAAATCAAATCCACTGAGCCTCCTCCAATGGACTGAATATGTTAAATATAAGGAGTTTCTCTGAAAGGTTGGCAGTAGCATTTATCAAATAAATCTGTTGACAGAGGAGGTAATGACAAGTAACTTCATTGTGAGAAAGATGACCTAGACAGCATTAGAAAGATGAAAGGATTACAATTTATCTGCTAGCACTGTATAATATATAATGTGTGTTAAACCTCAGCAGGGCAGGCTAAGCTGCTTCATTATGTACTTCTCTCTCTCTCTCTCACACACACACACACACACACACACACACACGGGGGGGGGGGGAGAGAGAGAGAATGAATGAGAAAAGTGCGGTGAAATGGAGAAAGATAGGCAGGCATCAAAAAGTAGCTATTTCTCCTAAATAGGTATAGTATGACCAGCACTGTAACACTGACATGTTCCATATATATAGCTAAACAGAAAATGAAATGGGAAGCTATCTTTCAAACTTAATGCTCTTTGATTATCGTCATGTAGGAGCAGAAAAGGAAGGAAATATAGGAGGTTAAGAAAGACAGGAGAATGCATACAAAACTCAATGAGTTAAGGGAAATATTCCAGTTGAGTACTAACAGGCACCATTTCAGAAAAGCCAGAATCTACATTTCTATGATGTCACATTCTACGCTTTGCTTCTTAGTTGATGAGGTTCTGACATTGAGGGACCTATTATAGTGAGCAATTTCGGGAAGAGAGTCAGTAAAGATAGAATATGGGAGGTAAGTCATTTGATTTCACTAGGAATTATGTGAAGATGCACAACATAGAGGTTTGCCAGATAAATGCTCTGTATATGTTCACATGTGAGTGGGTGAATTTGAGATTGTTTAACTTCCAATACACTTGGACAAGAGAGTTCTATTTTTATATTTTATATATGCTGTAATTTTTGATAAAATGAAATTTTCTTATTAACAGTTTGATTATTTGCATGATTGTGTATGCCTACCACTAAGTAGGGAGGTCTGATGGTTTTGCGGTAAGGAGTTGTACTGCCTAGCCAAAGACACACTGTTCAAATCCTCTATCTGTTCCAAGGAAGAAAGATGGACAATTTCCTCCTATACAATGAACTTCTTCTGAAAACCTGCTGGAAAGTCAACTATGAGTCAATTCTGACTCAGTGGTACACGATAAACACTAAGTACATAGGTAAAGAACAATGGCCAAATGGTATCCATGGGGTGGCACATTGAGATTCCTCCGGTGAAGAGACTAATATTCACATTCACAGATTCATACTTTCAGACTTTTCTGTCCATTTAATCAGGCTGCTTATTTTGGACTTATGTAAAAGGTAAAACTATAAATCAATCCTTACACTTAAGGTTCTCTAACTTCAACCCATAGCTGACCTATAACTCTAACCTGTAGCTAACCCTCCAATGGGTTTTCAGAGACAGTAAATAGCATAGGAGGAGACGGCCCATCTTTTTTCCCATAGACCAGCTTGCAGATTTGAACCACATACCCTTACTTTGCCAACAGAATTCCTTACCACTAAGCCACTAGAGCTCTCTTACTTTCTATTTTGGTTACATAGAATATATCATTTCATAAAAGAAAGAACATTTGCCCATTTTTCAAAATTATTTACCCCATTGTAATGATGATGTCGTTGATTGCTTTCGAGTTGAGCACGACTCATAGCAACCCTCTGAACAAAAGGCTTGAAGCCCCTCTATAACTATGGACATGTATCGAAGGTCATAGAGTTTCCAGAAGCAGTAGTCCCTTAATGATAAACTTGTTCAATATGTTAACAAAATGACCACATTACTGTAGTTGCATTTATTCCTTATGTTCAGGACTACTAGTCTGTAACAGTGAGAGTACTACTGTCTCAGAACTAACAACATTTTCTTATTCTATTAAGATTTTCATAAAAATTTGCCACATTTTCTCAATTTCATTTCATCCCATTATAAAATTGAACATATTCTCATTTCTTGAGTTTTCAGTCATGACAAAAAAATTTAAGTGAAAATCTGAAGTTGTGCCAAAGATGCAAGTCATAATGTAAGTCTTAGCTGACATGCAGTAAATGTCTAGCAACTAAATATCTCACTTTGTATGATAAAAGTCGCATGGGTACAATAGTTGTGAAAAGTTTACCAAGTATTTAGAAAAAACTAGTAACAAAATTTACAGAATCTAATCCATTTGTGTTGTGATTAGAATACAGTCTCCTAGAGTGAAGATAGATGACTAAGCTTGTTTTATTATCTATTTCCTAGTTAATGCATTTTATTGGTGTCCCTTCCTGTAACTATCCTATTTTACATTAAAGTAAATGAAAATAGGTAACATTTTCAAGTAATGATATTCTGAATTCATTCGTCCTATTTTACTTTATTCCTTATAAGGAACTCATAAGTAATGATTCACATAGCAAGAGAGAGCTCTTTAATAATAAAACATTCGCATCATTACTGTTTCATCTGTTTCTAGAGTAGGTATCACAGTGGTGCTGAAAGAATAGCTCCGGGTCACCTGTCGACATTCTTCAGCGTGGTTTACTGAAAAAAAGGGCTAATGACAGAACTAAAGTGCACGCACTGAAGACACGAACGGGAAACTATTACCACCTCCTAATTTCACGCCACTTTCCAAGAACATACCTAGTTCAAAGGTGTACAATATAATTGCCAAACTAAGATATTTTTTAAAGTAGCTTTTTCCACGTCTTCAAAGTAAAACCTTGAGATAGAATATTCTAAAGAAGATATGAAAATGTTAATTGTACAGATATTTTTTCCTACCATTTACTTTTAATAGCAGCATTTTCAGTAAATAAGTGAAGAAAGCCTAGAGAGTTTTAAAAGACAACCATCAGGGTGGATAGAAGGACTTCGGGAGAGCGATCCTCTTTAGACTCAACCTGACACTCTTTAATCAAAGAAAATCGTATCCAGGATCCTCCCCTGGCAGCACATTTGCCACCAAGGAGCTGACCCCCAGTGTATAATTGTAGCAGAAGGTAAATTAAGACAAAGCAGCGGCACACTCTCAGGTGAGGGAGGGCAGAAAGGTTAAAAGCAGTTTTGGGGAGCAGTACAGACTATAGGGGTAAGTGACCTCATTTTGTTTAAGCAAGCACACTCTCTAAAAGCCCACCTTTGGTGTGCATAACAGCGACATAAAATGAGCACAAAGGCTGAAAGCTGAAAGGAGCAAACTTCCCTTGTCCTTCCTCCCCTATCCCTCAAGACTGCCAGGAACATTTCGTGTCCAGGAAAACAAAGCGTGCACCCGGGCTGCGTGGCCAGAGCTCCCCGCGGTCCGGCCGGCCATCCCACCAGGGATGCTGCACCCCGGCTTCAGAGACAGGGCGCAGGAGCATAGCCCCTGATCGGACCACCAGGGCGCGGTGGGTTCCCTACCTCGAGCAGCACAAAGAGCCAAAGCAGAGGCAGCAGGCGGCAGCCACCGCGCGTCCTCGTGGGCAGGTGCCACATCGCCGCGCGGACAGGGACCCCCGGGAAGGGCAGCGTGGTCTGGCTCCCCCGGCGGTGGCTCACAATGGCGAACTGAGGCTGCAGCCTCAGAGGGTGGGCGCCGACGCTGCTCCTGGGGGGCGCATAATGCCTTTCTAGTGCCCCTGCGCCTGCTCCCTTTCCTCTTCTGTGTCCGAGGTCCTCCAGGAATGTGCCAGGCACTGCTTTTCTTCAAGGACTGAGAGGATAGAGAGGGTGGGAATTGAAGTGGGCGAGGCTCTGCAGCCGCTCCCACAGAGCCTGTCACGGGAGGCGCAGGGTCCTCGCGGTGAGAGAGAGATGGAGATCTTGAGTTGGTCTCGATCTTCGATCTGCTGAAAACAGATTCACTCTGGGCTGCAGCCTCATAAAGTGATAGCAACCTGTCAACCCTCCCACCATGGTCTGCCTGCTGCCTCCGATGACTGGGCAGACCCCACTCCAGGCTCCGCCCCACCCCTTCCCACACTGTCTGGGTCTCTGGAGTTTTGTGGGGTTTCCCTAACTCCTCATGAACAATCAAGGCAGATATCAATTTTCTCTCAGTCTTTCTGTATTTGCTCTCACTTACTGGTATAAAGGACAAACTGCCTTGTTGGGTGATTGTTACTGTAGTGGTAGAATGTAAGGTGAGTGTATGAGTGTCTCACTGATGTGTGTATGTGTGTGTCTCGCTGTTGCATGTGTGTGATGGACAGGGCACTGCTCCTCTCTTTCATTCTTTCCTTTCCATTTAAACATTCTCAATCTCTCTATATCACATTCATCATGGAGAAAATAACACATGCTTATGTGTGTATTTATGTGTGTGTGTGTGTGTGTGTGTGTGTGAGTGTGTGTGTAATATCTCTCATTTGAAAGTAGGAATTCTGGTAAATTTCAAAGTTTGCCTTTTGATAACAAAATCTACTAAAAATCTGAAGTTGAATAGAGAAGGTTGGGGGTGTCAATAGAACAGACTTGTCAATAAATACCATAGAGGTAATTCTGAACTGTCCACTAAGAATTAACTTGTGATTTTAAAAAAATCTCAACCTATTAATTCTGAGTATTTGTCCCCAGTTTCTTATTCACCTTCTTGGCTGGAATATAAGTATGAAATAAACTAGGAGGTACAGTTATCAAACAGAAATCAGTCCTAATTGCCGTGTAAGTCTTTTTGCCTGATCAGTAAGAAGTCTCCCTATTTATCAGTGAAAGAACTTTGATGCCAGGAAGACAGGCAAGGTCAGCATGATTATGAATGTAGAACTCAGCCCCTACCTAAGAGGTGATACTACTTTGTTCCACTCCCATGATTAGGGAACACTGAGGAAAGAAGAAACCCAAGGCTAGACTTATGCTTTTTGCTGGATAAGCAGTGAACATCCATCGTCTGATTGGAGTGTTGGTACCAGCAGCCAGGTAATTAAAAGATGAATTGCACTGGGAAAGTCTGCTGTCAGAGACCTCTCCAACATACTGAAGAGCAATGATGTCAGTCTCGAGACTAAGTCATTGCCATTACTTGCTATGCATCAGAAAGCTGGACAATGACTAGGGATGACAGAAGGTGAATTGATGCCTGTGTACTGTTGTGATGGAGAAGAGTATTGAATGTACCATGAACTGTTAGGAGAATAAACAAGTTCATCCTAGAGAGGGTGAGACCAGCCTGCCCCTTGGAGGTAAAGATTCTGAAGCTTTATCTGACATACTCTGGACATGTTACGTGGCCAGTCCTTGTAGAGAGACTTCATGCTAGAGAGGGTAGAGGGACATCGCAGAAAATGAAGACCCTTGATGAGATGGATTGATTCAGTGACTGGGGTAAGGAGTATAGGTGTGCCAGAGACAATAAGATTGGCACAGGATAGAGCAGGGTTTAGGGCTGTTGTACACAGGGCTGCTTTGGGTCATAGATGACATAACATCAACAACAATACTTATTGAGTAGATGTGTATATTAGGTCCTTGAATGGCACAAATTATTTATACTTGATGAATATTTTTGGGTTCAAATTCACCCAGTGACTTCATGAGAGAAAGGCTTGGTGACCTGCTTCTGTAAGGACTACATCAGAGAGGGTCTATATTACAATACATGGTGTTTCCCTGAGTAAACATGGATTGAAAGGGAATCAGGTATATTAAAATAAGTTTGGTCAGTTTAGCTATGTGAATATTAAATGCCCATATGAATAGATAATAATGGTCTAATTTTCCATGAAAATACTATCTTCAGCATCTTCTTTTAGAAGCTTCTTTTGTTGTTTGATTCCTTCCTTCATATGTTTGCTTTAGTGCCCGCTCCTTTGTAGACTTGGTCTATTTTAAGGAAAGAGGTTATTTGTTTCTTATTTCCTTTAGGTCAGGCTTCCTATATATCTGAACTTTTTATTCTTGGGACTGCATTAGCAAGGGCTTCGGTTTGATATTTTTCTTTTCTTTTGAGGTTTCTGAAAACAGTATGATATTTCCACATATTACCAATAGTGATAAGTGCCTCTAAATCAAATACAAAGCTACTTCCATGAAGTAAATTGTCACTCACAGTGATCCTCCAGGACAGAGTAGAATGGCACCATAGCCCCACAGGGCTTCCAAAGCTGTAATCTTTAGGAAACTAGCTTCCATCTCTTTCTCCCACACAGTGACTAGTGCGTTTGAGCCACCATTTTTTGGTTAGCATTCAACCTCTTTAAGCACACCACCACCCGTGCTCTTTAAAAGTAGCTCTACAATGTGATAATGTCTAAAACGAAAAAATATGTTTCATTTACTGGGAAATTCATGTCCACAGAATGGCAAAATTTTCTCTGTTAAGTAGATGTCGCTATTAAAATGTGCATTTAGGTTTCTGCCTTGAACTATGGAGATATATGAAGATATTGGTATGTATGTATCTACTCTGTGAATTATGAATATTATGGAAACACTTATGTATGTATTTATGTGTCAATGTGTGAGTAGATATATAGATATAACCTTACTTGATGTATGAAGGGCATTAGAAAACAGTTCTACTAATCATATATCTATCCTGTGAATGCATAGAGCTTCCACAATGATGTATGACTTATGTAATTATATTTTACTATGGTCTCTTTCAATGTCATTCTTTGTCATTCACCTCACAATTTCTTTAGCTCTTCCTGCATGTACCTCTGCCAAGACTATTTAAGAGTGTTAAAAAACTAAACGAACCTCATTAATGTTAAGTTAGAACCAGCTCATAGCTGACTTTCCAATGGATTTTCAGAAACTGTAAATTACACGGGAGGAGATTGCCCATCTTTTTCCTGCAGAGCCACTGGTTGATTCAAATCACCAAAGATGCACTGTCTTGGGTTATCAGAGCAGCTTCCTACAGACTATAAAATTCAGTAAACCATTAATAATTAGCTGGACCAGCAGTCAGGAAATAAGGAGATGCATTTCACTGGGAAAATCTGCAGTTAGGAACTTCTCAAATTATTTAGGAGTAATGATGTCAGTATAAGGACTAAGGTGCATCTGATTCAGACCATAGTTTTTCTGATCACTTGCTATGCATCTGAGAACTAGACAATGAATAAAGATGACAGAGACAGAGTTGACATCTTTGAGCTGTGATGTTAGAGAACTGAACATCCCATGGACAGCCAAGAGAACAAATAGATATGTCTTGGAGAGGCTGCAGTGGGATGAGGCTTTGCTTCAGATACTTTGGGCATGTTGCAGGAAGGGGCTATTCCTAGGAAAAAGACATGATGGTGGGAAAGGTGGAGGGTTAATAAAGGAAATGAAGACCCCTGGCCAAGTGGATTGGCACTGTGACTGCTGCAATGGGCTCTGTGTGTCAGGAAATATGAGGATGGCACAGGATAGAACAGGGTTTAGGTATTTTGTTCATAAGGTCATTATGAGTCATACTTGACTTGATGGCACCTAACAACAATTTTCAATTAATAATAGTGTGAAAAATAGTGTGATTGTTGTTGTTGTTGTTGTTGTGCCATCAAGTCACCTGTGACTCCTAGCAACCTTATGTACAACAGCCCTAAACTCTGCTCTAACCCTTACCAATCATATTATCTCCCACATACCTATTCCCATTACCCCAGTGACTGAATCATTCCATCTCATTGAAGGTCTTCTTCTCCTGCACTGTCTCTCCATCCTCCCAAGCAAGATGTCCCTCTCCAAGGACCGATCCTGTCTTGCAACATGTGGACATGTATGTCCGACGAAGCTACAGAATACGTGCCTCCAAGGAGCAGCCTGGCTTCCCCCTCTCCAGGACAAACTTGTTTGTTCTTCTAGCAGTCCATGGTGTATTCAACACTCTTCTCTAGTCCCAAAGCTCAAAAGCACCAACTCTCCTTCTATCATCTCTAGTCATTGTCCAGCTTTTTTTCATTGCAAGTAATTGCAAAGACCATGGCCTGCATCAGGCACATTATTGCTCTTCAGTACTTTGGAGAGGTCTCTGACAGCAGACTTTCCCATATCAATGCAATACATCTTTTAATGTCCTGGCTTCTGGTATCAAGGGTGTTGATTGTGGAGCCGAGAAAACTGAAGTTGTCAACAATCTCAATCTCTTCACCATCTATCATGATGCTACCAATCAACCCAGTGGTGAGAATTTTTGCTTACTTGATGTTGAGCTTCAGTCTATATTGAAGGCTGCAGTCCTTGACCCTCTCCAGCAAGTGCTTCAGGTCTTTCTCAGTTTCATCAAGCAGGATTGTGCCATCTGCATAATGCAGATTGTTGATAGATCTTCCACCAGTCTTGATGCCACCTAAAGTCTGAGGACTTTATTTCAGAATTACATAAATTTTCCTTTCTACAGAATATTATTTTATATTACTGCTTCTGGATAAAATGATTTGTATCTGTGTTTAAGAGAATAGAGTCTTGTGAACATTTATAGAAGTGACTTTAGAGGCATTGTGAATCTTGTATGTGAATCAGAAGATGAGACTTTCAACCCAGAGTGTGCTGTGTGTTTCTTTGAATTATCAACTAGTTTTTCAGTGACACACTAACAAGCTATGATGGACCTTATGAGGCTGTTTTCAAGATGTTAAGTTAATAAAGATGGCCAAAGGCAATACATATTGTTGTTGCTGTTATGTACAGTTGAATCAGAACCCGCTAAGAACTGAGCCTCCAGTGAGTTTTTAGAAGCAATAAATCTCACAGAAGGAGATGCCCATATTTCCTCCTCAGAGCTGCTGGTGTATTTGAAGAGCAAACTTTTGGGTTGGCAGTGCAGCTGTTACTGCAAATCCTCCCTATAAATATATACTTATCACAATAATACATTGTAGTTCTTGTTAAATGCTGTCTAGTCAAGCATGACCCATAGTGACCCTATGGAAACAAGGTCTGAACCTTGTTCTGTCATGTGCCATCCCCACAATTCTCGACACACTAGAGCTCATTGTGGCATTCACCGTGTCAATCCACCTAGTCAGGGGTT